AGAAAAACCTAACCTCACACCTAAAAGGAAAAATAAGCAAAATCCAAACATGGCACAAGGAAGGAAATAATAAAGATCAAAGCAGAAATAAATGAAAAACAGAAAAAAATCATAGAAAAGCTCAATGAAATCATAACCTTGTTCTGTGAAAAGATAAACAAATTGATCACCCTTTGGCCAAACTCATCAAGGGAAAAAGAGGACTCAAATGAAAAGATCAGAAGTTAAAGAGGAGAAATTCATATCACAGAAATAGAAAGAATTTATAAAAAATTATATTCCAAGACATTGGACAACCTAGGAGAAATAAATTCCCAAGAATATACAATCTTCCGAAATAAGAAAGAATGACAAAATTGAGTTGGCCATCAAAAAACTTCTAACAAACAAAAGCCCTAGAGAAGATGATAGAGATATCTGATATCTCTATCAGATATGTAAACAAGAGGTAATACTCATTCTCTTCAAACTATTCCAAAAAATTGAAAGGAAGGAAAGCTTCAAAATACATTCTCTGGGGGCAGCATTACCCTGATACCAAAACCAGACAAAGACACTACAAAACAAAACTATAGGCCAATATCTCTGATGAACAAAGATGCAAAAATCCTCAACAAAATATGACCAAACAACATTCAACAATACATTAAATATAGTAGGATCATTCACCACGATCAAGTGGAATTTATTCCAAGGATTCAAAGATAGTTCAGTATTCACAAATCAGCACACACCAAATTAATGAAATGAAGGGGGGAAAAATCATATGATCATCATAATAGCTGCAGAGAAAGCATTAAATAAAATACGACTTCCATTCATGATAAAAACACTCAACGAAGTAAGTTTAGAGGGAACACATGGCAATGTAGCCCCGGCCATGTGTGCCAGACCCACGGCTAACCTCATACGCAGCGCTGTAAAACTGAGGGCTTTTCCTTCTGAGTTCAGGAACAAGACAAGAATGTCCACTCTCGCCACTTGTATTCAACACAGCACTGGGAGTCCTGGCCAGAGCAGTCAGACACGAAATAGAAGTAAAAGGCATCCGAATTGGTAAGGAAGAAGTAAAATTGATACTCTCTGCAGATGGCATGATGCTCTACATAGAAAATTCTAAAGACCCCACCAAAAAACGATTAGAACTGATAAGTTAATTTAGCAAAGTTGCAGGATACAAAATTAACATACAGAAATCTGTTGCATTTCTATACACTGTTAGCAAAGTAGCAGAAAGAGAAATGAAGAAAAACTGAGAATTAAATTAAAAATTACAATACATAGGAATAAACTTAACCAAAAAGGCAAAGGGCCTGTGCTCTGAAAACTCTAAAACACTGATAAAGTAAGTTAAAAATGACACAACGAAATGGAAAGATAGTCCATGCTCATGGATTAGAAAAATATTGTTAACATATCCATAGTACCCAAAGGAATCTTCAGATTCAATACAATCCCTGTCAAAAATACTAATATTTTTTACAGAAATAGAATAATCCTAAAGTTAGTATAGAACCATAAAAGATCCTAAGTAGCCAAAGCAATCTTGAGAAAGGAGATCGACACTGGACGTATCATAATCCCAGATTTCAAGATCATTACAAAGCTGCGATAATGAAAACAGTATGGTACTGGCCCAAAAACATAGATCCATAGAACAGAATAGAGAACTGAGAAATACCGCATGCTTATATGGTGAATTAATCTACAGTAAAGGAGGCAAGAACATGCAATGGGGAAAAAAAAACCAATCTCTTCAAGAAAATGTGTTGGGAAAACTGGACAGCTACATGCAAAAGAATGAAACTGGACCACTTTCTTACATGATAACAGAAAAATAAACTCAAAATAAAATGACTTAAATGTGAGACCTGAAACCCAGGGCACTTGTGAGGAGCACTGAGTGTTTTATTTGATGAATCACTAAATTCTACACCTTACACTAAAATTTCACTATATATTAACTAGCTGGAATTTAAATTTTAAACAACTTGGAAAAAGGAAGAAAAAAAATAAAGAAAGGCAGTAATCTCCTGGACACTGACCTTAGCAACGCTTTTCTAGATATATCTCCCCAGGCAAGGAAAACAGAAACAAAAATAAACAATTGGGACTACATCAAAACAAAAATCTTTTACACAGCGAAGAAAACGATCAACAAAATGAAAAGGCCTATTGAGTGGGAGAAGACATTCGAAAATTATATCTTTGAAAAGAGGTTAATATTCAAAATATATAATGAAGTTATTCAACTTAACACCAAGAAACTGCAAATAACCTAACTGAAAATGGGCAAAAGTGGGGGTGGGGGAGGTTTAAACAGGTGATGGGATTAGGGAATGCACTTGTTATGATGAACACTGGGCACTGTATGGAAGTGTTGCATCACCGTATTGTATTCCGGAAACTAATATTGTGCTGTATGTTAACTAACTGGAAGTTAAGTAAATACTTTTTAAAAAATGGGGAGAGGACAATAATAGACACTCTTCCAAAGAAAATGTAGGACGGCAAGCAAACCCATGAAAAAATTCTCAACATCACTAGTCATCACAGTAGGGGAAATCAGAGCCACAAGGAGATATTGCCTTACACCTGTCAGAATGGCTCGACTCTAAAAGACAAGAAATACCAAGTGTTGGTGAGAATTTGGAGAATGGCGAACACTTGTGCACTGCTGGTCGGAATGCAAACTAGTGCAGTCACTGTGGAAAATTTCTATTAAAAATAGAAATACTGTATAATCCAGTAATTCCACTACTGTGTATTTACCCAAGCAAAACAAAAACACTAATTTGGAAAGATATGTGCACCTTTATGTTTCCTGAAGCATTACTGACAATAGCCAAGATAGGGAAGCAACCTCAGTGTCCATCAACAGATGGATAAAGAAGATGGGGGGGGGGGGATGGAACATTAGACATAAGAAAGAATAAAATATTGCCATTTGTGACAACATGAGTGGACTTGGTGGGTTTTTAAATAAGTCCAACAGAAAAAGATGAATCCCATATGATCGTGGAACTGAAAACCCGAACAAAAAAAAAAAAAAAAGGAGAAAAATTTCCCTGGGTCCCCAGGACAGCTGGTACTGTCCAGCTTGGTGTGTCTGTAGTTCAAGGCTTCACAGGTCAAGGCTCACGTCACATAGAATTGCTGAGGTCATTGGAAGCATGTATCTCAATAGCATTGAGCAGTTTAGGACAGGATCGGCTGAGTTTGGTGTGGTCATTTCCTTGTTTACACACAGGCGCTGTGGTCACAGTTCACTGGCACTTCTTGTAACCCAGATTCCCTAACACATAGGGGCCTTAGTTTTCCCTGTTATCAAACCACAACACTCAATCTATGAGTAAGAAGGAGAGTCTCAGAATGGATCCGATTCAGACACTGAGGTGGTACACTCATCTGTGCTGTAGAATCCTAAGAATCCCATTTTGTTACCACCCCAGTTTGCGGCCTCTGCTTACCTGGGGCCAGGGTAGACAGCCACCATCAGAATAGCCCCAGCAGGGGTGTCCTACTCAAGTGTGGGATTATTCCTAGGGAGCCGTTCGAGAATTACATGTGGCTCCTGAATTCAGCAAGAGTGCAAAGTGTTATTGTTAATTGCTCAACTGTGACGAAAGTATTGTATTCATTACAATATTGTATTCAACTGTGACCTTAAATTATTGATTAAAATATATTTTATATTTCATAAAATAATCTTCAAAATTCAAAATATTAATATATAGGAGCAGGAAGCATTCTGGTTCAACAGCTTGGATAGCACATAAATCTGCAGGGGCTGTAAATCGCAGGCCACACTCTTCTTACGTGCATTCCAGTAAATGCTGCGGCTATGGGGGAAGGCAGTGTGGCAGCTTCTTACAAAACTAAATATACTTTTATACTTTTACTATATGATTTGGCGATTGCACTCCTTGGCATAAATCCAAAGGAGTTGAAATCTTCCGTCCACATACAAAAACCTGCTTGTGGCTATTTATAGCAGCTTTCTTAATAATTGCCCAAACTTGGGAATAACCGAGATGTTTTTCAGTAGGTGGATGGATAAACAAAGTATTGTCCCCCCAGGAGGCAGAATGGTATTCACCACTAAATAGAAATGAGCTAGCAAGCCATAAGACACATGGAAGATACTGAAATGCATGATACGAAGTGAAGAAGCCAGTTGGAAACGTAGGAATATGACGTTCTGGAAAAGGCCAGAATCCGGAGAGAGTAAACAGGTCCGGGGTCGCCAAGGTCAGTAGGTGTGGAGGGAACGATGAACAGGCGGCGTGCAGAGGGGCCTCTAAGGAAGTGAGGTTACTCTGTACGAGTGTGTGATGAGAGACACTCGTCATCATACGTGTCTCCACCTCTACAGAACGTGCAACACCACGAGCGAGCCCTCGTGTAACCGCGGATGGGGGTGATGACGCGTCGAGGCACTTCTCTGGCAGAGGGTGCTGGTGGCGCGGGTGCGGCCAGGGAGTATTCGGGAACTCGAGATTTTCTGCTCAGTTTTGCTGTGAAGCTGTACTAAAACATACAGTCTGTTTTGTTCACGCCTGCCAAGAGGAGGCGCCTGCTTTAAGGAAGCAGAAATGGGGACATTATAAGTCCTCAAGAAACTGTCATCAAGAGACACCATAAAGTAAAGCGCACATTACAGACTGAAGACACTAGGCGTTTAGACATTATATTCGCAGAGCTACGGACTCTGGGCGTCAATCAGTGTGGCCGCAACTGCTCAAGAGGAGCAACTGCTCACCTTTTGGCTGCAAACTGCATTGAGGACAAAACTAAAGAAACCCCCAAATGTGCTGGTAGCTCCATGTGAAAAGCGGCTTGCACAGCAGGGCAGACCCGGGGACGCACTCGAGGCCTCGGCGCCCGCCCGCCCCCGCCCCTCACCCCCCCCACGACCCGCGCGAGGCCTCGGCGCCCGCCCGCCCCCGCCCCTCACCCCCCCCACGACCCGCGCGAGGCCTCGGCGCCCGCCCGCCCACCTGCGCGATGGCGTAGTCCGAGTTGTTGGTGGCCTGCATGCCCTCGTTGCCGCTGATCCCCACGCCCACGTGCGCCGTCTGGATCATCCCCACGTCGTTGGCCCCGTCCCCGACGGCAAGGGTGATGGCCCTTACGTGCTTCTTCACCAGGTCCACGATTTCTGCCTTCTGGAGCGGAGACAACCTGGAAAAGACGACAGAACCACCACTTTCTGGTGTGTTATGTCGGCCCATTTTACTTCCCCTTGTTCCAAAGCACGGAGTCAACGATAATCTACACGTAGCCCCCTTTAAATGACAGTTACTGCTAAATCTTCCCATACATTAATTAAGCTTCTAACATGTATAAAATCGTTCCACCCACCAATCTTTAAAAGAAATGGGGGCGGGGGGCGCCTGGGTGTCTCAGTCGGTTAAGCGGCCGACTTAGGCTCGGGTCACGATCTGGCGGTCCGTGAGTTCGAGCCCCCCGTCGGGCTCTGTGCTGACAGCTCGGAGCCTGGAGCCTGTTTCGGATTCTGTGTCTGCCTCTCTCTCTGCCCCTCCCCCGCTCAAGCTCTGTCTCTTTCTGTCTCAAATAAACGTTAAGAATGTTTTTTACTTAAAAAAA